TATCTCGGAATCTCTAGAAATTTAAGATTTTCCAACATGTTCTACTATGAAAAAAATTTAATTTATAAACATTTTTCTCATTTAAATTACCCAGATGTAATTTCAAGGACAAACCAGTGCAGACCTAACCATGTTGGTCTAACTAATCATTAACTAACTACTATGAAAACAAGAATTTAACCAACCCAAGTTAAGTTCTATGTTTGTTGCAAGTTCTATTGCTTATAGGATCAGCTGGAAACTATTTTGGATAAAGATGTTACATAGGCATGGGTGAGCAGATATATATGCCAAAGTAATGATGGGTTGTGATAATATTACATAACACATTTTCACATAAAAGACAAGGGAATTTATGAGTATAATTACACAATACAGGAAAGAGTTTCTTTGATATTGATCAAGATTTGCTATTATATGCAATTACAAGGATTAACAATTTATTTTATTAAACCATTACCATAGAATTTTCACAAATCTTAATAAATATATAATTTGATGCAGTGTCAACTCAAAAAGGTGCCATGAATGCAAGTTCCCACTGGCCATATCAATTCCATGTTTTCTTCCTCTTCTATGACCACTCACTCTAACATTTCTAAGTTCTAACATCCCCATTTGCAGAGCTTGGATTTAACGTAACATGGGCATATTCACCATTCACCTCTTGGTTGAGAACTGAGATAATAGAGTATTAATTACAACAAAATCATTCCACTGAAGAGTCGCCGGTAGAGATACATATACTATACTTATAAAAAAAAAGCCAAAGCCCCTAATGCATTACCTCACACTGATCTCTGAAAACATGAAGATCAAGTATTCCATCTTCTCCATTGACGAGCTCAAAGATACAAACGTCTCCAATTTGCAGTTCATTTTCTCTTGCAAATGAGTGCCAACCAACAGAAAACATGCCTGAAACACCGGATGAATGAAATGCAAACTTTACAGGCCACAAATTCTTTCTAAACTGTATCATCATCACACCACGCTTCTTCTTTGTAAAATACTTTCTCACGAAATTAGTCGGCACATACTGCATCAAGTCATATATAAATAAATATGTTCATCAGTGTGAGAACAAAATCGAGCAATTCATGAAAATGTAATAATACTTGTTCATGAGTGAACAAAATCAAACAATTTGTGTCGTTGTAATTTTCTGTTATCTGTAGTTAGTTCCTACCGTTGGTGTTGGTGTTGCTTAACCAACCTTGCAACTTGTCTAGTATGAATCTGTTTGCACAAACTTCTCCGAAAACACTTCAAGGATAACAAAATAGAAACAAAAATAAAGAAACAAGCTACTCTATAAGCTAAAATTAACTTACTCACAAGCTATTTTGTAGAAACTCTCCTATTAACTTCTCCAATTTTTATTTTTTTTAATTTCATACATAAACTAGTTTTAACTTATCGAGAAACTTCTTATGATTTTTCTTCTTATTTCTCTCTTAGAAGTACTTTTGAAGAATGTTATCCAAAGAGGCTTTTAATACCTAACTTCGTGATTTAATAAGAAATTTGATTTCACTTCACATATTCTGAATCATTAGATAAAAAAAATCCCACACTCATCAACATATTTAGGTGCATAGCTTAACTAAACCTTACCGGGCATCTGGGTATCTTTATTGCCTTCCATTCTAGAGTTAAAGTGGCCATGAAAAAGGGATTTTTTGATGTGAATTTGCTAGCTTCTTTGAGAGCTCCGGTTGTTAAGATCTCCGACTTGACGTGACTTTGCAACAGAGAAGATCTTTTACTTGAACTTCCACCTGTCCAGTTAGTTGAAGAACCCTCTATGCTGCATTTTGGAAGATCTATTTTTGCATTTTTCACTGAATTCAGTTTTAGCTTTTCATTGAGAATAATAAAAGAACCCCTATGATCGACCCAATCATGGGGTTTGGAGTAACATGCATAAAGTGATAGGTTCATTGTACACCAATTTTTTTTTAGAGTAATAAAAACTACCTAAGAAGATACGAATTACACATGTTGGATATACAGAGGTCTAACATGTACCAATTATCTACAAAAATTTAGAAATAGATTTACAGTCAACATCAAAGATGCTCTTTTCAACTAAGATTTGACTCATCTAAATCCAAGAGCTATAGCCAACTGTTAAGATTGTGATTAAATGCTTACATAAGCATAGTAAATTGTTTCATTGTTTAAATTTTAGGTGTTAATTTTTCAACAAGTTATTCTCTTCACTTTATTCTCAAAAGTGAACTCGTCACAGAGTTAAGTAACTACATCTCCTTGAACTGACACTAAATCCTCATTGTGCAGATGAAATGAAATAATGGATTACCTTGTGAAATCGCTGGAAAAATGAAAACCTTGAAAGTCAGGCCTTGGATCTTCTGAATCAGCTCAAAAACACAAACATCCCCCACCTTCAAATTATTTTCTGATGCAAATTTCTGCCATCCCCCATTAATTCTAGGAGCAGAATAAATAACAGGCCAACTTCTTCCATCCAAGACCTCAAGGATCACAACTGCATGTGTTCTCTTCAAATATTGTTTTGAAAACTCGCGTGGTATATCCTGGGAATTTTTTATTTACAATGTAAAAATGTAAGCAGTAAGAATTATATTTTTGCTGCAACATCCTTATAAAAGAAGTTAACTCATGGCAATGTATATATTTACTCAAATGCTCACCAGGTAATATCCAATAATATATGTTGGCTTCATGACAAGCGTGAAAAAGGGTTGTTCAGATCTGAAAGCTGTGGCTTTGGTTAAAGCAGTAGAAGTTAACTGCTCCACTTTTGTGCATTCAGTGTTAAAAACGCCTTTACTCTCATCTTCTGAAAAATTGAACAAGGCATGATTAAACTAGAAAAAAATGGACTCCAAAAGAAAATTGGTTCAGCAAAATGATATGAATCTGATCATGACATTTGTTATTTGACATACATACCATCTAATTCTTGCTTTATAAATTTTGTCTTTTGAGAGCTAGTACTTCTGGTTTGGATACGCCGATGCAAGTTTACCCCATTGGTGCTTCTTTCAACATTTGTAGTTATGCTATTTTTCATTTTCTTACAAGGTGGAGGAGATGATAGTGTTGATTTCACTATAGTCATATGATCATCCAAAATTTCATCAGAATCATCACTAATCTGCACAACTTTGTCCTTTCCATCGTGAGTAGCGTGGGAAGGATAGTCTATTTCAAGGGCACTATTGTCAAATATGTGCAAATCAAAATGTGAAGTTTCCTTATATTCAAACAACAGCAAATGCCCATGATCTAGGGAATAGAATGTGGCAAACTCCTTCCAACCCTTTTGAAACCAAGTCTCCCCATCATGCTTGGTCCAATATATTTTCCATTCAGTGCCATCAGGAGGCTTCAGAAACACCGGGTTTGATATTCCATCTCCATATTTTCTAGTGAAATTTTTTGGGAGTTTCTGCAAAGTTCCTTTTGTTAGCAATAGCATGATAATAAGCTCACTAACATAACAAACACCAAATGACTGTCATGCATTCAAATATGAAATGCAGAAGTCTGTGTATATCCAGGATCAAACACGAAGAGATAGGGTTAGTTAAGTACTTAAGTTGGTTAAGAGCAATTTGGACAAGTTTATAAGTTCTTTTGAAAAAACTTTTACTCTAAAATATTCTTTATTTTTAGTAGAGAAACTCTAGAAAACTCTTCTAACTAGTATTCAACCGGACTTTAAAAATGTTATTTGTTGGCAGTAAAATTTCAGATTTTTTGTCTTAGCTTCTATTAATATTAACCCCATTTTTATCCTCTCAGTTTTTAATTTACATCATCCATACCAACTAAATATGGACCAAAAAAATTAACTCTGATAGACTGATAAACATGATGAAAAACAAACAGAAGACCAAAAATGATGCTAAATTGTTTTATAAGAACTGAAATTAGAAATATAAAATTTATATGAATAAAAAAAAAACCTAGCTGAGTAGAGTCATTTGAAAAGCCAACTATGGTGCCAAACAAGAACATCAAGTTCACTCAAACAAGAAGTATAATATAAAGTAAGATGCTTACAAGTTTTCCATGTGTTGTGAGGATAATCTTAAAGAAATGGATTGCAGCGGACAAAGGATGCTTATCATGTAGTGAAGTCATGGTTGTTGAGATGAGATTTGAGGGTCCAAATGAGATTTCTGACTCAACAATTGCAAATAAGAAGTAAGAATTACTCTCAAAGAAATGTCACGTGTTCAAAATTTAAGAGAATACCCTCAAATTTTGTTCTACACATTTACACTCAGACTCGGCTATTGCATTGAATCTATGACATGTATTCCCTAGGTACCAAAAATAAAGTGTTCTCTAGGCATTTCTTCTGACACAACTTCACTTTAGTCCTAATGAAATGAGTACCCTGTGCCTGGGGCTGGGGTGATGGTGCATTTATTGTACTATATTTTATTGATTTGTTAGCTTCAGAGTTTAGAACTACCGGACAATTTTAATACCTGAAAATTTATAATATTTTATTAATATTCTGGTCCAAAAATTCAAATAATTTTATATAATATATTTTTTTTATTTAATTCATTAACTTAAAAATAGTTAAAATTTAATATTTAAATAAATTTATAATTTTTATTTTAATGAAAAACTACAAATTTGTCTCAATCTAAACAGACAAAGAAATAAAAAGGATGGTCTAAAATTTTTGTATATTTAAGAAAATACTTTTAAAAAAATCTTTATATATATACTCAAATATATATATATATAAAAGGAGGAGTCTATATATTTAATGAATAATTTTATTTAGAATTATAACTTTAATAATTCATGTTTTATATTAAATTTTAATGATCTAATCATTAAATTTAAAATTAAAAAATTAAATGAGATATAACTATTTAAATTTGCTCATCAAATAAATAAATTCTTCTTTATATATATATATATATTATTTTCTTTTTATGTTAAGAGTACTTATTATGATAAATAAATAAAAAGTCAAATAATTATCACTCCTTAAAGTTAAAACCTAAAATAAGTAAACATTGGTTCAGAAGTTGGGTGACAAAAGAGATGAAAAGACAGCAGAAAATGGGAAAGTGTAAAGGGTGTAAAGGTTGCATGAATTGGCTGAAGAAAGCTTTGGAAAACGAAGCTGAAAAAAAAAAAACAAAACGTTTCGAAAGCTAGGTACATTGTTATTAGGATAAAAAATACCGTCTTCATGTATTTTTAAAATATAAAACAAAAATAATTTATTAGAAATATAAAAATAAAAATTAAATAAAATTAAGTTGTTAACGATATGCACAATTTTTAAGTTATTGTAATTATATGAGTAGTTTTTGAGAAGTTTTGAAAAGAAAAAATAAATAAATAAACAAATAAAAACTAAATAAAAATTATGGAAAAAAAAGAGTAATTAAGCTAGCTAATGAGACAAAATTGTCTAAATAATGTGAATCCGAAATAAGATAATCCCATTATTATTAATATAGATAATATTACAAGAATAGTATAAAATACATATATATCTTAATACATTATAATTAAAATTAATACTCCTACTACTACTATTATTATAATAATATTTATCTAACTAAAATATTATTATATAGATTCAAAAAAATTAAGACAATATTAATTATAACAGTGTGAAATATTTAATATTAATAAAATATTTTTCATAATATTTTTAGATTATTTTACCCTTAGATTTTTAAAGAATAAAAAATAATATTAAAAATTAATTAAAACTAAGCCTTGAAGTTCAAAGATTAAGCACAATATCAGTTGATTCAAAAAATATTAATAATTTTAAAATATATTTAAATAAATATAAAGATATAGAGTGTCTCAACCCCATTAGTAATAATAAAATGATTATTGTACATGATAACTATATCGGATAGGTCATTTGACTACTGGAAATTGCAAGTTCAAGCCCATTTCGGTGTTCTCGATGATCGAAGAACTCATGTGAATGTGATTACTCCTTTTGACATTATTGGTAGTCGAAGGGATCACACAAATAAGACCTTAACCATTCCTTTCGACACCATTGGTAGCCAAAGGAATCACTCAAGCAAGTTTAGCCCCCATAGCACCCTCAAAAGTCACAAGGACTGTGCAAACAAGTTTAACCCCCTCGACATTGTCAGTAGCCGAAAGGTTTGCACAAAAAAAGTTCAACCCCTTTGACACCCTTAGTAGCTGAAGGATTCGCACAAATAGGTTTAACCCCTATCGATGATCGATAAACGAGATATGGAGGCCCATAGTTTGAATTATGATGACAAAGGTGATTATGGCTCAATCATTGATATAAAATCAATTATTGACATATTACCTCGCTTCCCATTGGGATCTAGGTCCATTACAATTAGTATAAATAGTTCATATCTTAAGGTAGTCATTGTTCATTAATCACATTTAATACATCAAGAAAGTAACTTCAGCGTCAAAGTGTCTTTTACAAGTGTACCCCCTTAACGTGGACAAGCAATTGGATCAGGAGTGCCTTTTTTATTTTATTTAATAAATATTTTAAGTATGTTACTAACCCAATTAATTTAATTAATTACGTTAGAAACTATAATTATTTTATCAAGCAATATTTTATTTGTTTTGTGAAAAATGGGATTTTACTTTTAGCAGTCATTTCAACATTATTTTTTAATTAAATTTAAACAAAAAACTAATTTATTTTTTTCTATAATATTCTAAATCTTTAATAAAACCTCTCAAATAATATAACACAACAGTTATATAAATTGCATAATCATTCTAATAAATCAACTACGGATTGGTCAATAAAATTTGTCGATTAGCTACTAATTAGAATACAAATTAGTTACCCACATTGTTGATTAATATTATGTGGACGTGATGAAATAGTAAAGTTCTAAATATGTACAAATTGTTGTCTTGTATGTTGCTAATTAACATTTTGTGCTTATTATCCACATGTTGGTGCATTGAAGTTCTTGGTATATACAAATATAAATGCGTAATCATTCTAATAAATCAACTACGAATTTTTCATTAAAATTTTATTAATGTTCTGCTTATTATCCACATACTGGTGCATTGGAGTTCTTAGTATATACAAATATAAATGCGTAATCATTCTGATAAATTGTAACAGCCCAATTTTTACTGGGCCAAGAGCCCAATTAAGGTGGTTTAGTAGCCGGGAACGGGCTGTTCCAAAATTGGAACGGGCCGTTCCAAATTACTAAATAGACCTACTTTTGGTAGCCCAGAACAGGCCGTTCTGGATTTGGAACGAGTCGTTCCAAACCATTATATTCGCCTACGATTCTTAGTTGAGAACGGGTCATTCCAGAGGTGAGAACAGGCCGTTCCAGAGGTGAGAACGGGCCATTCCAAAATATGACCGTTGAGAGTTTTAATGCAAACCCCACAACGGGCCGTTCTAGATGTGAATTTTACACATGACGTGAGATTTCAGAATGGGCCATTCTGGATTTGAAACGGGACGTTCCGCGAATCCTGATGCCTATAAATTGAGTGCTCTA